TTAAAGAAGACCTACACAATAGAAAGATGTGAGATGTTTATGTCAAAAGACTCAATGTTAAATAAATGTAAATTTTCCTCTAATATATCTTTAGGCTTAATAAAATCTTTATCAAAATTCCAAAAGACTTTCTTGTAGAAATTGACCAGATTAATCTAATATTGTCATGAAATTGCAAAAAATGCATAATAGTAAAAAAGGACATTGCAAAAGAATGAGTTTGGAAATCTACCAATATTTGATTCTATGACTCAACTTAGAACTTCAGTAACAAAACAGTGTGAGATTGTTGTAAAGACAGACAAATAAGAGAACAGAATGAGAATGGGTAAACAACCCCATCAAATATAGACAGCTGACTTTGGACCAAGGTAAAAAGGTAATTCCATGGAGAAAGGAAGGTTTATGAGAATGGATGCTGGAACAATAGGATTTATGTGAGGGAAAACTACACCACTTAGGTCCAGCTAATATACAAAAACTGAATCAAATGGATCATAGGCTTCAATGTACAACCTAGAGTATAACACCTGAAGAACAAAGTACAAGTAAAAAGACTTGTAAACTAACTGCATCCATATCTCAAAAACATTGTTAAAATGGAAAAAAAAAAAAAACCCCACATAGACTTTCAGAAAGTATTTGCCAATCATATATTAGGTAAAAGGATTGTATGCACAAAATACAAAGAGCTCTGAGAACTCAATAATAACAACACTATTTACAAATGGGTAAAAGGTTTGAACACTTAACCAAAGAAGAAGCAGGGATGGCAAATGAGAACTGGAAGTGATGCTCAACTTTATTAGTCATCTCACTGATCTTTGTTACTCTTTGGCTTCCCCCATTTTTCTAGTGGAATTCTCATCAGTTGAAAGCAGGGAAGCTGGTATGTCGCATTTGACTTGCAATTTGTATGAGAAGGACAGCTTTGAAGTTGGCCCCAGAAAGAAATCTGGATCTTTGGCTACATTAAAATTATGTTTTAATTAGTTCAGACAAAATCATAATAATCAAGGTAGGTCCTCAGAATAATAAATTATATATATATACACACAAAGTATATATACATTAATAGAGGCATGGAGTATAATTTCAGTTGTTAAAAGAACTGGATTTAGTGGGTGTTTATCACAGACTGTGATGACCTGTGGGAGAATCTGTCTGAATCCACAGTACCCAAGACAAGAGCTTCACTTCATCCTCCTACAGGGGCTCTTAGGGGAATTTCAGTTTTCCACTCCTTCCTCTTCTGGCAAAGCACACAGTTATACCATTGGTTGACTCTCACATTCAAAGCAAATTTATATAATCCACATTTTTTCTGAGCTCGGGACATGAAGCTTACAAAATGAATCACCGTGCAACAAATTGCTACCTTTGTTATTGGCAATCCTATGCCATTGTAGTTTTTGTGCTTTAGAAAACCGAACACTTTTAAAGGATCCTCACAATTTCTTTCAGGATATGGGTAAAATAAAAATCTATAATACTCATTGTCTTTCATATTGAAATTTAAAAATGCTGTTTAACTTATTATAACTTCAGATTGGATTCATAAAGTGCCAAAATAGGTGAGCAATGGAAACCAATTGTAAATTTTCTGTATATTTTACTTTGCATGACATAATCTGGATAAGCAAAATTGTTATAAGACTGATTTTTCCTCTCTAACAATATTTTTATCTTATTAATCTAATTACAATGAATTTATTATCTAAGTTCTAGTGAAATGAAAAGGTAAATAACTGAAAACTAGGTTTAAAATTTTCTGTTAGGATGAATCTTAAATAAGCAATCTCTCTAATAATTCAAACGTAAAACCCCATTGTGTTGAATTAAATACGTGTTCTGAAACTTTTAAGGTAAGTCACTTGTATGTTAGCTCCTATATCCTTTAACCTGCTTCTGATAGTGATTTAATTTAGTGCTATATATTTGTAAAAAATATTAATAATATGCACATATATGTTTGTCAAAGGAAACATGCAGAAAATATATGTCTAATGATCAGTTTATTATTTCATAAGTTCTGGTGTTTGTGACTTTGTAAGCACCCACACACAAATCAAATTTGAATATTTTCAAATATGTAGTGACTTAGGATTACATAAATGGAAGCTATATAAAATAAAAATATATTTAACAACTAGAATTGTTGACTTTGCCATTTATATAATTTGTATCTGGTTCAAGTCTTTGACTGTAATTATGCTAAAAAAGAACTGATCCACAAAAGAAATTTCTCTAGTAGTAAATTCAGTAAGATTCCTACAGGAAGTCAACTCAACTGTAATTATTCTAAAAACATAGGTTAAATTAACTTTTAAATATGAAAAGAAACTTCATGCACTGCTAGTACCTGCAACGCAAAGAGTGCAAAGCAAAATTTAAAATCAAAGCTCTCTTTTCACCAAAAACAAAAAAGATTGTAAACTCTGAATTTTGAATAACAGAAAAAGAAAAATCCATCTCTTAATAAGTCCTAGGGTTAAAACAAACATTTACCAGCCCAAGCCTAGGACCTTTGCCCATTATTAGTCATCAGTCTTTCTCTAATTTTCTCTATTCCAGACTTTTGGTTCATCTTTTTGACACAGATCCATAGATGCATTTATTATTTTCCACCTATTATTCTTCTTCCTCTTTATTCTCTTTTCACCCATCCAAGTTGCTCTTTCCGCCTCTGTCCCCTTTTCCCTCTCCATATCTTCAAATCTTTTCTCAAATATTCTATAGAAAAACTTACATTTGGCTGTGGTGCAGACACCTGCCAACTGTGCTCCTCCTTTCTTAGGGTGCTCCATTTCATTTCATTTACCATCAAGTCCCTTATTACTCAATGAATTCTCATTATTCTCTGACTATAATTCTATCACAAAATGGAAACTGCTATCTGAAAGGCTCAAAACATTGCCTGATAAAGAGGATCTCTGTTGACTCCTTGTTCCACTAAAGAATACATTTTGGGATGTGGCCTGTCCCTCACTTTGTGTTTCTTGAACTCAGCTTTTCCACCTCACTCCTGCTTCTCTGACCACTCTGCATGGTATCCTTTCCTGGTCTCTTTCTAGTCTTTCATTTGTTTGAGACATGGCCTCAGTTGCAATAGGAAATGAGAGAATTGAATGGGGATTTTCTCTCCCACAGAAAAGTTGCTAAAGTTTGAAGAATAAGCTGGAAAAATGGACAGTAAAAGAGGGAAGCAGGACATGTAGGCACCACCAAGAACCATGTTCAGCATTAACTCACTGAAAGCTGCTCCTGCTCCTACTGACATCAGATGCCCTGACAGTGTCAGTGTCATTGTGATGGATGCAGGATGCTAACTGCTGCCCTGCTGTTTTTGCCACCAAAATTCCCTTCTGACCTTGTAACCATCTCTCTCTGTTTCTCTCCCTATTAGAGAACTCTGACAGGGCAAACATACATCAAGTGCCCTTACGCAAGGTGCAAGATTGATGGGGAAATGTCTTTCCAGCTTTGTTGACTTCTGGACTATGTGGTAGCCTCTGCTCACATTCAAGCATCGTGTGGTGGAAAAGGGGATCAGATGTTGTCATCTCATCAATGACATATTCAGTAGCCCCCCTTATTGGCAGTGCATGCCTTCCATGGCTCCCAGTTGATGCCTAAAATGTCAAGCGGTACTGAACCCTATCTCTTCTGCTCTATGATTTTCTTTTACATACTTACTACGTGTCATAAAATGTAATTTATAAATTGGTCACAGTAAGAGACCAATAACAATAATTAATAGTAAAATCCAACAATTGTAACAATGTAGTATAATAAAAGTTATGTCAATGTGACCTTTCCTTCTGTGTCCCCAAATATCTTATTGCATGTGACATTTTTGGACTGCAGTTGGTCACAGGTAACTGAAACCATGGAAAGCAAAACCACACAAAAGCCAGGACTGCTGTGCTGATGTTTTCACCTCTCTGACATAAGCTCCTCAAGTGTCCATCTTCCTCTTCTTCCCTTTCTTTTGTAAACTCTCCAATGGATACTTCGTCTAGATACTTATGCTGTAACTGCCCCCATGACTCCAAAGACATTTTTATTAATACTTAACAGACTTGTGCTACTAAGTAAATGTCATATGAATCCTCAGACCCTCCTCCTCTGTTCTGCTAATGCAAGTAAGTTCTCAATTTTCATATTTAATGAACGTCTACCCAGTCCCCAAGTGACACAACTCTCCCTCACTAACCATCCCATCCACAACCAATATGCCACCAGTCCTGGTGATTCTATGTTCTTGGATCTCTTTGTTCTCATCACTTCCAAAGCCCTGTTCTTCACAAGGCTAAGTAATTAGACTCCTGAAGTCCAATCACTTCACACACATTCATGTCCTTTGAGGAGCATTTTCAACATGAAGATTCCTGGGCCTCATTCTTGCACTGCTCTCAGTGTCTCTACACTGTGACCTTGTAATCTGTATTTCTTGCAAGCTCCTCAGACAATTGCGATGTGGCATCTATTTGGGGAACTCCTAGAAAACAGCAGCAGTTCCCTGATTAGCTCTCCTGACTCCAGTTGCCCCTACTTGCAGCATGTTTTCTACACACCAAATATTTAATTAAAAAATACCTCACAATGACACTCACAATTTGAAAAGTTTTTAGTGCATGCCTATAGCTTGAGAATTAAAGTTCAGAATCCTTAATATAGTACTTATTTCCTTTATTAATCATGGTCCTTTTAACACCTTTTCTTTTGGCATTGAAGTCATGCCTCAGAAACATGATTTTTTGTTAACCACCCTCAGTGGTGTCCCCACAAATTTAGCACATGCTCAGAATGCCTCTTTTTTATCTGAATCTGTTAAACCCTGCACATGTTTTGAATGAGACTCATTGTGCTTTCCTTCCTTTAGTTTCCTTCAGTTTAGAAGTAATGAATAACAGCCAATCTGATAGAAGTTTGGTTTTATTTCAACTCCTTTCTCCCAAATTCAATTTATAGTAATTACTCAGTGAATATTTATATTTATGTTTATTTACTGCATTTCATTTCAGAGGACACCACACAAGGACATGGAAAAGGAAAATGCAACATTGCTGACAGAGTTTGTTCTCACAGGACTTACACATCAACCAGAGTGGAAAATCTCCCTGTTCCTTATATTCTTGGTGATATATCTCGTCACTGTCACCGGGAACCTCGGTCTGATTGCTCTCATCTGGAATGACCCTCACCTTCACATCCCCATGTACTTATTCCTCAGGAATTTAGCCTTTGTGGACACTTGGATATCTTCCACCGTGACCCCCAATATGCTGCTCAACTTCTTAGCTGAAAGTCAGATGATGTCTTTTTCTGAGTGCAAGATCCAGTTTTTTTCCTTTGCACTCAGTGCAACCACAGAATGTTTTCTCTTGGCAACAATGGCGTATGATCGCTATGTGGCCATATGCAAACCTTTACTCTACCCAGTGATTATGAACAACGCACTGTGCATCCGGCTAGTAGTCTTATCTTTTGTAGGTGGCTTTCTTCATGCCATAATTCATGTGGGTTTTTTATTCAGATTAACTTTCTGTCACTCCAACATAATACATCACTTCTACTGTGATATCATCCCATTGTATAAAATTTCCTGCA